TGATTGCTAAGTGGAGCACTGAAAGCGACCAGGCGAGTGATGGGAAGGGGCGCGGCTGGGCTAACCAATAAAGGAGTTGCAGAGGATGGGAGACATTAGACTGACAGCACTGTGCAAGGCAACAAAACCCTGATTGGTTGGCAGTACCGGCCCCTACCCTTCCCAGAATCCCAGCCCATGCCGCTGAGGATTACGGAAAGATAATACGAATTCAGATTCAAAGACTTCTACTACCTGCAATCATTTGTACAAAGTTACTCGCTCTGTATCTTTATATCTGTTAGGAGTTCGACTTTAAAGGAGAACTATGAGGTGATTGCTTTTCACTGATCCTCATAGTTCTAGCCGACCTGTGACAATGAGACTGTCGCTCAGTAGATCGGGAGGTGAGCGAACACATACCGGCGTTCGCTCACCTCTCGATTCTGTCACAGCTCTCTGCCGTGACAGGGGAGGGGCTGGATTCCCCCCATCTCTCTCTTACCTGGTGATGTGAGGGGCGGCCGGTTCTCCATCACGACGTCCTTGTAGAGATCCCGGTGTCCTTCTAGATACTCCCACTCCTCCATGGACGGAAACACTGCTCCATCCCACGCAATGGCACCATCACCAGATCATTTCATGAAAGGTGGTGGGCCTGTAAAACACACGGGGGCGGGATTAAAGGGTCGGGCTATGGGTTATGTTGAAGAAGGATCAGTTTGCACTCTGAAAAGTGTTAAAAAGAAGCTTTCTTTTTATCCATCAGATCCTTACTGGTGTCTGTAGTGTCGGTGATGATGGGGGTAATCGGCGTCTGTAGTGTCGGTGATGATGGGGGTAATCGGTGTCTGTAGTGTCGGTGACGATGGGGGTAATCGGTGTCTGTAGTGTCGGTGACGATGGGGGTAATCGATGTCTGTAGTGTCTGTGATGATGGGGGTAATCGGTGATGATGGGGGTAATCGGTGTCTGTAGTGTGGGTGATGATGGGGGTAATCGGTGTCTGTAGTGTCGGTGATGATGGGGGTGATGAGCATGTATAGTGTTGGTGTTGATTTCACATTCGCCGTTCTCTTCTACGTATCACATCATTGAAGTCCTGATCTGTGCTGCCATCTAGTGGCAGATCAGAGCCACATGTCTATTTGTACTTTTGGTATTGTCCTCCCCCCTCCTGTTTGGTGCTAGTTGGTTCAGTCTATAGCTAGCCCCTCCCTTCTTCTCCATGTTCCTTCTCTTACTCTCCAGTCCTCATAGGAGACGTTGGGGAGATCATTGTCTTAGACCAGAAGATACGTCCTCTGTACTCGAAGAAGTAAATCTGTGTTGGATTAAACGTCTGCGTCTTATCAGAGAGTAAAGCTGTCCGTGGATTGTGCTGATTCAGCAGGTGATCGGACCGCTATCTCCGTATCTGCCAGTCCTCAGATGGGGAGTTTGCATTAGTTTTGTCTTTTTCCCTTTATTGTCTCATGGTGATCCTGCCAGTAACACTTCCTGTCCTAGGGTGACAACTCCTGTATCCATGGAGTGTTGTCACCATAGGACAGGACTATAGATCACCTTCCCCTCTCCTCATCTGTAAAACAAATAGGAAGGGGTTCCGTAGTGTGGGTGATGATGGGCGTGTGTAGTGTGGGTGATGATGGGTGCATGATGATGGGGGTGTATAGTGTTGGTGGTGATGGGTGTGTGTAGTGTAGATTATGGGTGTCTGTAGTGTCGATGATGATGGGTGTGTGTAGTGCAGATGATGATGGGTGTGTGTAGTGTGGGTGATGGGTGTGTGTAGTGCAGATGATGATGGGGGTGATGGGTGTGTGTAGTGTGGGTGATGATGGGTGTGTGTAGTGTAGGTGATGATGGGGGTGATGGTTGTGTGTAGTGTTGGTGGTGATGGGTGTGTGTAGTGCAGATGATGATGGGTGTGTAGTGCAGATGATGATGGGTGTGGGTGATGATGGGTGTGTGTAGTGTAGGTGATGATGGGGGTGATGGTTGTGTGTAGTGTGGGTGATGATGGGTGTGTAGTGTGGAGTGATGATAGCGTTGGTGATGATGAGGGGGATGGGTGTGTGTAGTGCAGATGATGATGAGGGTGTGTAGTGCAGATGATGATGAGGGTGTGTAGTGCAGATGATGATGAGGGTGTGTAGTGCAGATGATGATGAGGGTGTGTAGTGCAGATGATGATGAGGGTGTGTAGTGCAGATGATGATGAGGGTGTGTAGTGCAGATGATGATGAGGGTGTGTAGTGCAGATGATGATGAGGGTGTGTAGTGCAGATGATGATGAGGGTGTGTAGTGCAGATGATGATGAGGGTGTGTAGTGCAGATGATGATGAGGGTGTGTAGTGCAGATGATGATGAGGGTGTGTAGTGCAGATGATGATGAGGGTGTGTAGTGCAGATGATGATGAGGGTGTGTAGTGCAGATGATGATGAGGGTGTGTAGTGCAGATGATGATGAGGGTGTGTAGTGCAGATGATGATGAGGGTGTGTAGTGCAGATGATGATGAGGGTGTGTAGTGCAGATGATGATGATGGGGGTGTGTAGTGTAGGTGATGATGGGGGTGATGGTTGTGTGTAGTGCGGGTGATGATGGGTGTGTGTAGTGCAGATGATGATGATGGGGGTGTGTAGTGCAGATGATGATGAGGGTGTGTAGTGCAGATGATGATGGGTGTGGGTGATGATGGGGGTGATGGGTGTGGGTGATGATGAGGGTGATGGGTGTGTGTAGTGTGGGTGATGATAGCGTTGGTGATGATGAGGGTGATGGTTGTGTGTAGTGCGGGTGATGATGGGTGTGTGTAGTGCGGGTGATGATGGGTGGGTGTGGGGGGGGGGTGGATGG